GGGGTTGGGTGAGTGGGTGGGTGAGATGTAGGAGGGGCGGGGTAGAGGGTTATATTCGTTTTGAGGTTTAGACCGGGATTCCTACAGCGGCCCTTGTTGACCTCGAACTCTTGATCCTTCTGCCCCCACTTCCCGCGTGTTAGGGTTACGGATGGCTCACGGTCCTTTTTAAAATGACTGCTGCTACTCCTACTATTTTGGAAGGATTTCACCCTGTAGTCTAGGCTAACCTTGACTCACTCTGTAGCCAGGTTAGCCTCGAACTCGCAGTAAGACTTCTGTGTCAGTCCGCAGGATCTTACTTGCCTTGGCAGAGGAGTCTCTTGAAGGAGTGACCATTGGACAAGTATGCTCGCTCTTGAGATATGTAACTGGGGCTGCTACTACCATTGACAGTTTGCCCAGGCCTTAAATTCCAAAAATGTACTGTGAGCCAATGCCAATTGTTCTTCCCTTAGACCTGGCACTACCAGGATATTCCCTTACTGGTGGCACTAGTCCTTCCCTTGTGTAGCGACCTATGCTTATCAAACCATCCTCTGGGTGATCTCCATACTCTGCAAAGAGAGATCCGAAGCTAAACGCAGGTGGCAAGCCCCGCTATTGGAGGAACGAGACTAGAATACTAGGAATCACCTGGACTCGGGCTGTGTAAGGACAGTGGAACTGCAAGGAGATTGACCTGAATACAAATAATGAGCTTCGACTGGGCCCACACTTACTGATCTTGAATATTGTCTAATTGATTCTGTGTAGTAACTAGAATTTCACTCTAGCAAAACTTGCAGTCATGCTCCTGCCTCCAGGTCCAGAGCTCTAGAAATACTGGTATTGGTCATCGTTAGATATTTCAGTCACTTGTTCTCTTGGTGGAATCATTGCCATTGGCTGCTACAATGCTAGAATTTTTTTTTTTTTTAATTAAGTTGGACCTTGACTTTACCTTGCCCCTCCATTATTTGGCTTGTTTTCTTAAGCCTGTGTAAGTGATTCATTTTCCTTTCTCTCCCCCCCCACCCCAATTTACAGGCAGAGAGTATGTCATTCCATCCTTGGCGCACAGATTTATGGCAGAGATGGTGGATTTCTTTATTCTCTTCTTTATAAAAGCAACCATTGTCTTGAGCATCATGCATCTCAGTGGGATAAAGTAAGTTAACGATAGTCACGGAAGAGTCTGGAGCTGTTACTTAGAGATCTTGTTTTGTAAAATCTGTCCATGCCCGTGAGTGACTCTGGGTGATGGGTGCCCAGGGCCAGGTTTTCTTTTTTTCTTTTTTTAAACTTTTAAAAGCTGTATGTTTATGTGTGTACTTATGAAGACCAGGAGGTCCACTTTGGGTGTCTTCTGCTCTCTAGTGTCTTTTTTTTAGGGAGGATCTCTCACTTAACCAGGGGCTTGTCATTTCAGCTAGACTGGCTGGCCATCAAGTCCCCAGGATCCACCCGTCTCTATGCCCCCGCCCCCCATGCTACACCTTGGTATGTGGGCTTTTAGATGGGTTCTGGGGACCAGCCAGCTCAGTCCTGATGTTTGTACAAACACTTTACTCACTGAGCAATCACCACAGGCCCCTTGTTGGTTCAAGAAACAAAGGAGGAAACCTTAATATGTTAAAATCTGTGGGAAATTCTCCTTTTGAAAATAGAGTGAGGCTTTGGTGGCATGTACCTTTAATCCCAGGACGCAGGAGGCAGAGGCAGGCAAATCTCTGCGTTCAAGGCCAGCCAGAGCTACAGTTAGATCCTATCTCAAAAAAATTTTAATAGGTAGAAGGAGTCTCCAGACCTGGCTTGTTTCTGTTAACCATTCTCGTGAGCCAGGAACTTACTGGTTTCCTTATTGGCCTATTCAGTCTCTTAACATGAACGCACATCTGCTGCCTGTCCAGAGGTTCCAAGTTCAGTTCCCATGTAGGCAGCTCATGCTCATAACTACCTGTAACTCCAGCTCTAGGGATCCAACCCCCTCTTCTGCACACACACCAATAGATTTCTTTCCAAAGCACAGAGAGCCTGTGGTAGGTGAACTCTTAATAATCTACTAGTGGCATTTCAGTGGGGCTGCTTACAGCTGAGAGATTTCACTCCACTGCCAAGTATGGCATTTACTTGAAAAACTCAGTCTTTGGAGAATGGCTGCTATCATTTCCTAAGCATTATCTATGTGCAAGACATTGAATTTGACTGTTTTTTGTTAACCTTAAGGTAGAAATTAATTAGGTTTATGAGAAGTTAAGGCCAGAATTGAGAGGAAAAAAAGTTGATACAAACTGTTGTTAATTAAACCTTAGGGCCCTTGTCAGGTGTTACTGCAATTCCTTCCTATCCTACCTCCCACTACCCACCAACACAGCCTTTTTAAAAAAAAAAAAAAAAAAGATTTATTTATTACATGTACAGTGTTCTGCGTGCATGTATCCCTGCAGGCCAGAAGAGGGCACCAGATCTTATTACAGATGCCTGTGAGGCCACTATGTGATTGCTGGAAATTAAACTCAGGACCTCTGGAAGAGCAACCAGTGCTCTTAACCACTGAGCCATCTCTCCAACCTGACACACAGCCTTTATTTTGATTTTACATTTTTCTTTATTTGGAGGTCAGAAGACAATTTGTAGAACTTGACCTCTCCAGCCTTAACTCTGCTGTAGTTTTTTTTCTGACAAGTCTGAATTTCATCACATGGTTCAACAGGTGCCCACGGTCTTACTCACAGTCCACACACAAGAGCAATTGGAGCCCTACCACTTGCTTCAAGGCTCTCTCTCTCCTGCCCGTCTTTCTCTAGAGCTTCTCCCATCCTCTTGGTCTGGCTGGCTTATCTTCATTCTTTGTGTTGTAGGACATGTCATTTCTAAGAAGTCTGCACAAGAGTCAGTATAACTGGTGGTTTTCCGTGGTGGTCTGGTTTCCTGACACAATTGGCATCCCCATTTATTATTATTCTTTATTGTTCTGTTTTCCTTGCTAGAATCTCAGTGAAAGCTGAGACATTTAATATTCCCTTGCTGTCCTAGTCTGCCTTCTGTTGCAGTGATAAAGACCATGATCAAAAACTTTGGAAGAAAGGGTGTATTTCATCTTACAGCTTGTAGTCTCATTGAGGGAAGTCAGGGCAGAAACTGAAGAAGCAGCCATGGAGGAATGCTATCTACCGGCTTGCTCAGCCTGCTTTCTTATAGCATCCAGGACCACCTGCCCAGAGGTGGTACCACCCACAGTGTGCTGGGCCCTTCCCCACATCAATCACTAATCAAGAAGATACCTCACAGACTTGCCTAAAGGCCAATCTGATGGAGGCATTTTCTCAATTGAGGTTCCCTCTTCCCAGGTGACTGTATCCTTTCAAGTTGACAAAACCATTGACCATGTCCTCAGAGCTGGAGTCTTACTTGTTCTACAGTGTTCTACCACTGAGTTACAAACACACAAACAAACATAACCGCACCTTTTGCTTTTATTTACCTATTGCTATTTGTTGAATAAACTCAAGGGTATTTTGTGCAGTTAGATGGCGAGAACCTAACAGTTAGCTTAGAATTTCATGTAAAATTTACGACTTACACTAATCAGGGAAAAACAGTACAATGACCTGGTAACTAGTTCCGTATAACCCCAAATCTTTTTTGTGCAGGGACATCTCTAAGTTTGCCATGCACTACATAATAGAAGAAATCGATGAAGACACATCCATGGAAGACTTGCAGAAAATGATGATTGTGGCACTTATATACAGGTTGTTAGTTTGTTTCTATGAGATAATTTGCATTTGGGTAGCAGGGGGAGCTACACCAGGAAAGTTCCTGCTAGGTCTTCGAGTTGTGACATGTGATACATCGGTACTCATTGCTCCAAGTCGGGTTTTAGTGATTCCTTCCTCAAATGTTAGCATCACAACGTAAGTCCTTTGCTTATCTTAATCTACTTGCAAAAAGAAGATCGTGAAGTCATTTTCTACTATATAATGATGTCAATCATGGCACTCAGCAATGAAGAGTCTGCTGCAGGTGTTTGAAGTGTGTGAAAGTGCACCAAGTTTTGCATTCTCAAGATCATTCCTACATTCCTCAGAATGAGTCCCTCGTTAAGCAGCACAAGATTGTATTCAATACCCCATTACAGGTTCTTCATAGTATACACTGTGATCACATGGAGGTTTGTATGTCTCATTGCCTTTGGCACACATGTTCAAAATAATTTTATGAACTGTGTAGCAATGGTTAAGATATTTGGGTGTTCTTAGTGCTCTGTGCCTAGCTTTATTCTCTGGCTCTGTGAACTACCCACTACAACCCTATCCTAACTTCAGCTCTTAGCTGTAGAGCACAGAATGCCTGTAGTCTTCATTGCTGGACTTTGGCATGCAGCACCATTAAGCGTGCAGTGGTGATGGAAGTTTGTGCCAGTAGCACAAACAAAATTTGGCTAGAAAAGCTGCAGGAATGATTCAGGGGAAACACAAACAAGGCTCCAGAAGCAGGCTAGATTTTACTGGCATATGCACATTGCCTTACAACTTTGTTTTAATTCTGGCCTTTTTTTTTTTTTTTTTTTGGTGTTTCAAGGGGGTTTGTGTAGCCCTGCTGTCCTAGAACTCACTGTATAGACCAGGCTGGTCTCAAACTCAAAGATATCTGTTCCCGAGTACTGGGACTACAGGCATGCACCACCACTACCCAGCTCTGGCTACTTCTTTTAATGAGTCAATAATGGTTAGTGTTTATTGAGCGCTTCTCAAATACCATGCATTTTAGTAATTTAACATAGCATTTCACAGTTGTGGAGCACTGGTAATTAGAAAATGAATGTGAAACCAGCCAGTTTGGATTCAGAGTCCACACTTTTAGCCACCGACAGGCAGAAACTAACATTGTTAGGATAATTCTCTATTTTGAGCTATTGTTGAAAGCTTTTTAAGATTACTGGAGCCCATACAGGAGAAAATAGATAAAAGAACAGATTGTGTTTCAGATAAAATAGAAAGTAGAACTGCAGTAGCCTACCCAATTCAGAAGAATCTAGAAACCCATGGGAATATATGACTATGGAAAAGGTAAGCAAAGGGAAAATGTCTTTGGACAGAATACAAAGTCCTGTGTGCTGTCTCCTCATTGATGTTCTGAGATGTTATCAAAGTTCTAGTCTTGTACGTAGTTTTCTTTAGGAGTTGAGCAGGTAATTCAACTGTATTGTTTGAACTGTGCTCTGAATGTTATAGACCTCAACAACATACCCAGTTGGCAATGACTGATATGACATGACTTGCTACTTCTGTTTGCTTCCTTTAGGTCCACCATACGAGCTTTGATCAAGAATTTTTCTATTGCTTCTTTTTTCCCTGCTTTCATCACACTGCTGTTTTTTCAGCATAATCGAACAGCCTATGACATTGTAGCAGGAACCATTGTAGTAAAAAGAAATGGGGTCAGATGATGCCCCAGAGCCCTGAATTCCACTTTTTGGAATAATGATGACAAGACTAAATTATGTATCAAGGCCATCAGTATCTCTAGGCTACATTAATTGATGTTTTAAAAATTAGAGCAGTCACTACGGTGTGATGCAGGAGACTGTTCTGAAAGTGTTGACTGTACTTAAATGTCAAGAACCTTTCCAGAAGGAAAACTTATTAAATTCAAGTGTTAAATATTTGTAGGACAACAAAACAAATGATTTCAATCAATATAGAAAAATATATACTTTAACATTTAAGATAAACAAAATTTGCTGGAAGCATTTTCACCTTTAAATTCTCCATTTTGGCTTATCCTAGAGTAATTGAAAAATGTCCAGTTGTGTTTTATAAACACCTAACTCCCACAGCTACTCTTAAGGAAGTTTCTTTATGTGGGCATTGAGAAAGCATCAACTCAACAAACCACTGGCTGGCTCCATGGCAAGTGTTGGAGAAAAGGGCTAGTGAGGAAGGCCTATCAGTCCCCTCACCTCATGCTTGCAGGATGTTCTAGAATTCACTGCAGTAGTGGTGGAATTCTGCAACTTCTTACTACTTATGTATTTGGAGGCAAGAATTTTCATGATGATGAAAATGTATTGAGTCATATCATTGATACTTTAAAAAAAAAAAGGTAAGTTAGTGATTGCCTTCTGTGGGGGTAGGGTGGGGATGGGAATGTTAACTTTCAATGTAAATTCAGCTTAGAATTCATGTGCCCTAAAAATCAACTATAAATATGTGGGGGAAACATCCATCAAACATTCCCAGTGTGTGCTCTCCAGTGTTATGAATGTATCTGTAGATTCTATTTCTGTACAAGCAAATTCCTAAGGCACTATATTCTATACAGTTCCGTGACTGTCAAAACATCAAGGTATTAAGTCTTTAGTATTTTGTGAATAACTCTAAATACTAGTAGCCTGTGAAATATTAGCAATTTTCCCATAATGAATTGTTCTCTCTAAAGCAAGGCAGAGTGTCATCTCCGGACATTATTCTAGCTTCTCTAAGCTCATTTTGGGCCTGCTAGAGATGAAATTTGGGAGGAAATGTTAAAGCAAACTTTTGTGTATGGTCATTGTACTTTGCTCTGTTGATGCAACATTATCAGGTTTATGTCTGTGTGCTTTTGTTGTGTCCCAGTTAGCTAGCTGTACTGAAATGTACCCACACTGCTTATAGTTTAAACTTTATTTCTTTCTTACTCATTGTATATGATTTTCCCAAGAAACACTAAATTGTATTGTATAAGAAATCAATCTTTGTTCCTGGGTTTTAAATAGCAAGAATAATCCATGTGTTATTACTGCATCCATTTTCAGTGGACTTTTGACATTTAAAACTGTGAAAATGCATTTAATGTCTATAGACACTTTAAGAATCTAATAGCTTATTGTAAGAGTTCAAAAACCGTTTTTCAAAATAATTTTATTTAAATTAAATCCAACTTCACAGAACCCCTATTACTTGTCAAGAGCAGTATGTAGAGCACTTGCTTGTGGCTCTGGCAAGATTTTACGGCTCTTCAAACTCTTACACTACAAATCAAGAAGTTGGTATGGACACTACTTTTGCCACTGATAAGGGAATTCAAGTTGAAATGTACTTCACCCATGCAGCTCTGGAGTGCTTGATTATTATTTCTACCCAAAGATTACTGTACTTTTCACTGAGGATATTTTTATTTATACAGTAAAATAAACTAGTCCAATTCGTTATAGTTTAAATATTGCAATTTGCTATGGACAAGTCATTTAGATCCAGCTGTGGATTCAAGTTGTGCCATACAGACTGTAATATAAAAGTATTGCTTTGCCTCTACAATAAAAAAAGAAATCTCAAGAGTTGAAATAAGCCAGGCACTGTGGTGCACGCCCTTAATCCCAGCACTTGGGAGGCAGAGGCAGGTGGATCTCGGTGAGTTCAAGGCCAGCCTAGTCTACAAAGTAAGTTCCAGGACTGCCAAGGCAACACAGAGAAACCCTGTCTCGAAAAAAAAACAACAGTTGAAATAAAGAGAAAAGGGAACCTGGCACATTTTTTTTCCTCATAGGGTTGTAAAATGGAGTTTCCTTCACAGAACATGAGTATATTCAACTACAGAAATACTGATTTCCTGTGTCTCATGCTGAAGCTGTACCCTAAAAGGGCAAAATTGAAGTCAGAAATGAAGATGCTCTTAAATGAATGTGCGTACCCTGAGCTGGACTGGAGTCTTATTGCTGCATTCAGTCTTAACTGGAAAGAGATTTAGGCAGTGAGAAAGTCTTGGTACCCATCGCTGAAAGTGTTCTGGAGTGGCTAGATCTTGTGAGTAGGATAGTCTACCTTCTATCTACTATCTAGGTAGGTAACAGTGCAATGGCGGGCCTTACTTTACTAAGCATTCTCTAGGACCATAATTTGACAGTATTCTAAAGCATAGCCCAACTCCTTCCCTAGCACTGGCTTAATTCTCCCTACAAAGCATTCACCTTCTAATCTCCAAGAAGACATCCTAGTTGGATCTTAAAAGTTTTACATTTGTTACTTGGAGGATGAAGCAATTAAAGTTTCTCACTGTTTCTTTGAGGACAGTGCCTAAATTAACAGTATTCCTAAACTCTTGACAAGTACTCTTTCAGCTCCTTGCAACCTTCCATTCACATAACCAAAGATCAAAGTTCTTACTCATGCCTGGGTGAAGTTTCTCATTTCAGCTGGTATATGCAGATTTCCTTGTAGTTCACTATAGTAGGGCTTGCCCTGCAAACAGTATCTAATGACCCGCCTATAAATAAAACTCATTCTATTTTTAATATTTGTATGTCACCAGTTTGTATTTTTGTCTCAATAAATGTCAACAGTGTTATCTGTCTTTGCCTATTTTTTTTACTAAGAAAACAGCAACAGTGGTGTATTAAACTAATGGTGCTGATAACACTTGCCTCAAATATGTAACAACCTGCATTATCCAAACACCTATGAAAAACTGTAAAAGTACAGGTTAAACTCACGGGTAGGTACTTAGAGCCTTTAGCATTACAACAATCAGATGACTAGATTTAAACTCAGTCTTAATGGGAAAAGCCTTTATAAACTAGTCCTTACGGACAGCCTTTCAAGAAAGGCATTAGCTTGATTGTGGACATGTTAACTGTAAACCCAGAACTCAGGAGACTGACACACGAGTATTGCTGCAAATTTAATCCCAGGCTGAGCTACAGTGTAAGACCCTATCTTTAGACATTAAAGGGTATATGTACAAACTTTATTTAATGCAGCCAGGTCAAAGTGTTGCTCCAGATAATTAACTATTCTAAGCCAAGCTACAAACTATGTTTGGGGACTACAGTGGATTTTTGGAGGAATAAAAACAGTGAGAAGGGGAGGGACAGCCCACATTACAAAGAAACAAGGGTTATGACTAAATTCGTCATATAGTTGCTATATAAGATCTTCACTTTTCAATGTTATGAAAGTTTCCAATAAACATGCTACCCTTTATAAAATTGTTGAATGTTGGTTTCCATTGAATTTCAAGCTTTATACAAGCCCAAAGGAGCTTGTACAACAATGAAGACAAGTTCCCAGGTTAAATCTTTCCTGTTAAAAAATGCTAGTTATAGTAATAAACCATTTCATCAGTTGTAAAAAGGAACTTCAGTTGTCTAAATTATACTTTTTTTCCTTAAGGCCTGAAATTATAATCACTACAAACAACCCAGCACTTAAATGCTTAAAGTGACATACCCAGACCTGATGATAGACTATTATCTAAAACCAGTCTGTCAATCTCTGGGGATATGCCCTAAAACATACACTTAGATATCCCACTAATAAGCACTCTCAATCTCAGCCAATCCAAGGAACAGTTTACCACTGCTGGGCCGGAGGAGGGACAGGCCCAGAGATGGGGCTGCCACCACAACTAGAAAGCTACATGCAACCCAAGAATCAAGTCTCAAGATCTGAAGTCTTACAGACTGGTAAACCAAAAAACCCAATTGTCATATAAACCAGCCTTAGTAAGACTTTAGTAGCCTGCTTTAAAAAAAAAAGGGGGGGGGAGGGGGTTCAAAATTATTTCCTACACATTTACAATTATTACAATTATTTGGACCTAGATAATGGCTAAGAACTGGCCTCCGAGGTCACTGTGAGGTCAGACGGGTTCCCAGTTTACCTCTTCAGCATTCACCACCAGGCTCCAAACAGCGTTAGGTGTCAGGTAAATATTAAATATTAGAAAAATAAAAAGCTCTACCCTCAAATCATGTGATAGCCTTGCTATCTTAGTAAGAAAAACATCTTTTCACGAAGACAAAGCATTAGAAATTCTCAATGTAACTAACCTGAAGTATGGCAAATTAAGCACAAACTAACAATAAATGCCCACCCGAATTACAATGAAGACAAAAGCTAAATCCCCAACCCTGCACCACCACCACCCTGCCACCACCCCACCCCACCCCCGTTACAGTTTTATAAACTTTTGGAAAGCCTGGGGAATATCTCCAAGAAGGTGAGCAATAAACATTGCCTAGATAACCTAGCAGGGAAGCTAGAAGTACAAACAGAAAGGGTTCTATGTTTATTTTCAACTTTTAAAGGGGTGCTACATATACAACTGAAGTAAAGACAGCAGTAGGCAGAAAGCAGAGGCTCTTCTGTATACTGCAAACTGATCATACTTGGGCCTTGCCTGATTATACTCTTTGGGATTTCTAATCAACCACCCTTCCCATTAACACTGTGTGCCTTCACTATGAGAACTGTTAGCAAAACGTGCTTCATAAAGTTTTATTGATGGCATTTATCCCATGGTTTAACATGTTAATTATACGGTAATAAACATGGCTTTAATATTAAACTTTTCCTTATTATCCAAAGTCACCACAGTCCATTTCAGTAAATATAAAAATATATGCTTAATACTTTGTACAATACTGGTTTTTGGTCCAAACAAAACTGGATCAGAAAAGCCAATAAATTCAACTTTAAGAATCCCCAATTTTTTTTTAAAGATTTCCAAATGGATTTAGGCAACTTTGAATAATGGGATTTACATAATAAAATCTGAGACATGACTAAACAAACAACAAAAATATGTCTAACACAAAATTAAAATTTCAAGTTCACAGATTTATGTTATGCCAAAAAAGTACAGAAACAATATTGTATTTACAGAAGTTTCATAATAAAATAATGAAAAAGGCAAGACAGTCAATAGAATGAAAATATAGAAATAGCATATACTTATTAAATGGAGAATGAACTAGATCTAACAAGTCCTTAGTATAGACCATTCTTTAATCAGGCTTTCTCTATCAGAATTTTCCTGTGCACAATACATCCAACTCACTTCACACATACACCACCACAAACTCCGCATAGAAATCATTCATTTCAAAGTCCTCTAATCTATACAGGATTCTAATCTATACAGAATTCCCCAGATATAATTACAATTTCAATGCGTTCCATTAACGCTTTATCAACACATAGCGGTGCAGACAGGATCTATACAAAGCCATTCACCGTGCAGGCTCTATTCCTGGGTACAGCCAGACTATGCCAATCAGTGAATAATGTGCTGGATCATAAAATGTTTCTGCTGAAGAATCAGTCAGTCATCAGTCTAGCTATTATTTTCAAAAGAGAATGGGATATGGGAATGGGACTTCCATAAAGAGAAAAAGTACAATTCCAAAATTAAAGAAATCCTTAGACAGATCTGACTTCAGATAAGCCCAGCATGTAGTACAATCCAGTATCTGAAAGCAGGCACCAGCTGTTGATAAAACTGTTGGGTATTAACACCTTTGTGACCTTTATTTCCTGCGTCTAACAGCAGTCTTTATCTTGCGACCAGAAACTGAAGTTCCGGAAGAAGAGAACATATTTTTCCCATTTGACCTGTGAAAATAAAACATTATAATGTGATAATAATGTTCAGGACAAACAGAGGCTCATAACCACTTAACATGGCCAGCAACAAAATGAGAAGTAAGGAAAATATTATTGATACAAGTAAATACCTTCTGCTATATTTGGCCTTGTCTCACATTATAACACAACCCTCAAAATTACAATATCATAAACTGATATTGGGTAATATTTACGTTTACCCAAACTATATTACTGCCTGATTTACTTTTAGAAACAGACACCTTTACCAATGTCAACTCTCAATGAAATAAAATCATCTCTTACCCCACTGTAAATGATGCTGGAGACTGGCTGAACGGAAAGCCCCCTGAACCTGAGGGCTGGGCTGAGGCTGCAGGCGTGCTGGGATTTGCACCAAATGTGAACACTCCTGATGGATTATTGTTTGTGAAGTTGAAATTTGTAGTGCTGCTGCCAAATTGGAAAACAGAACCTATACAAATTAAGGAGAAATATCCCATTAATGACACAATGTTAAAGATTGACTTTGACCTGGACATATTAAACATGGGAAAAATTTTAAGATCTTAAGCAAGGCATGGTGATGCACGCCTCTAGTCCCAGCACTCAGGATGCAGAAAGGAGAGAATCTCTGATATCAAAGCCAGCCAGTACTGCCACAAAACAGGAGACATGTTAGGGCACAAAGATGAACCTTTAGAAACCAATAACCAAACAAAACTAAAAGACAAAATACTTACAAAGAATTCACAAAAAGGGAAACTACACAGAACCCAAGTATGACTGAGACTTGTCATCCACCAGTGGCCGCATGGGAACTAGTGTACCCAGCAGTAAGTTTGTAATAAATACCTTTAAATACCAGGTATACCTTTCTATTCAAAGTGCATCACTAAGAAACACGTCTGCTCCCCAACTCTGTAACATGCAAAACAATATTTCCTAACCGTCAAAACTGACCACTCAACAGCAAATGGATAAGGCTGCCATTCAGTGACTCACTCTGCAGCAGTGACAAAACCATATGCAACAGCACTGCATGTAAAATTTAAGAGCCAAAGAAGCAAGAATGCATACAGCAAGAGCCCACTTGTAAAGGTAAGTATCAGGCAAAACTTTGTTTTCTAGAGGTATCAGTAAACGTTAGAGTCCAATTGACAGAGAGAACAATGGTCACGGTTAAGAATAAAGAAAGAGGACTATAATCAAAATGGCCTCTGATCGCATGTGGCCTTCGGCTGTCTGTACACACATGCAAGCTTCCACACTGACTCTTTGATGTTTGTGTCCTTTTCATGAGATCATATTTCTATTAGAAAGAGCAAATTAAAATACAGTGCAATCAGTTGTGTTTAAAAAGCCCCAAGAACTTTGGATGAGCTATACAGAGGGAACTGGAAGCATTATTCCCAGTGCTGTGAGACAACTCAGCACAAGTAAGGTCCGACTCCCTTTCCAAAGGACATCAAAGCACTGCCTCACTGCAGCTAGAGAAACAGGGTGGAACACAGCCCACACCTAAGTCAGAGGAAGAAACACTTTCAGTGTACACTAATGCCACCAAATGTAGTGACGAACATTCTGCAATGTTTATAGGTGAATGTTAAACACCACACTTCACTGTTGTGTTAAGTATAAAACATTAGAAAACAGGATACACTCATGGTTTAAAGTTCAAAGAAAAACATTATTTTAAGACACTAGACTCAAAGTATGGATACCAAGTGTCATTACACAACTTACTGGAATTAGGAGCTGTTCCAGAGCCAAATGCAGACTGACTAGGCTGCTGCCCAAACACAGGAGGCTGGCTGCTGCTTGACACTGTCCCAAAAGTAGGTGGTTGTATGGGCTGGGAACCAGCAGAAAACAATGCTGTTGAAGACGATATCGAGCCAAAGCTTGGAGGGTTAGGCTGGCTGGCACCTTGACTTTGTCCAAACGTTGGGGTCTGGTTAG